GATCACGATCGGCGGCGAGATGACTGCCCCCCTCGCTTCGGGGGGGGGGCGTCCTCGCCTGGGCTCTTCGGGCGCGGCACGCCCCAGGGCGCGGTCCTCGTCCGCGGCCGCGAGCCCAGCCTCCTCTCCCTCCCCACCGTCCGCCGCCGTCCCACCCCCACTCCCCACGAACACATCTCTCCCCGCCGCCCTCACATCGCGGACGGGCCCGCGCGAAACGAGTGAGGCGAGGCGGGCACTGGAAGCAAGATTAGGGGAGAGCAAGAGAGGGGCGGGGGTGCGGAGGGGGTTCGAAGCGGAAGAGGAGGGCTGAGAAGGCTGGGGCACAGAACTCTCAGTGGGGGCAGTCCTGTCATCAGCGTCTCGACCTGATAAGACACTGCCCAATCTATCCACCGAGTCAGATTGAATCGAAGTGCATGGTGTCATGCTCGACGGACCTGGCCGCATAGCGGTTCCACCCAAAATCTTCGACTCAGAAACAGCAGAGGTATCGGGTGCCGATGGAGGTGAGGATGTAGGAGGAGGAGGAGGAGGAGGAGGAAAAGAAGGAAGAGGAGGAGGAAACTGAGGACGAGGAGGAGGAGGAGGATGAGGAGGAGGAGGAAGAGGAGGAGGAGGAGGACGACGACGGGGACGAGGAGGAGGAGGAGGAGGAGGAGGAGGAGGAGGAGGGCGGAGGAGAAGGCGGAGGAGGAGGAGGAGGAATAGGCACGTGGGGGAGGCGGTGGGGGTGGGGGTGCCTCCTCCTCTGCGTCGTCGTCATCTTCCCCCTCCTCCTCCTCCCCCTCCTCCTCCTCCTCCTGTTTGGGTTTCCCATCTGGGCCCCCTTTTGGGGGCGTCTTTGGGCCCTCTTGGGACGTCCTGGGCGCGTCTTGGGCCGTCTTGGCGCCCACTTGGGCCGTCTTGGTGGGGTGGTCTTGGGGGCCGCGTGGGCCGTCTTGTAGCGTCGGAGAGCCAAGGACAGTCCGTGGATGTTGCCTCTTTGAGCCCTGTTGGGGCGCCTCTTCGAGCACTCGGGGGACGTCTTCGATGCCTCGTAGGCCGTGTTGAGGCCATATTGGGCGCATTAAGGTACGTTTGGGTTTTCCCGGAGGCATCATCGGCCCTCTTGGGCGTTTTTTGGGGTCATGCTTAGCCAGCTGCGCTACAAGAGGGCGCGCTTGTGTATATGTATGGGGCCAAGTATTTATATATGCCTGCCTGCCTGCCTGCCTGCCTGCCTGCCTGCCTGCCTGCCTGCCTGCCTGTATGTATGTATGTTTGCATGCATGCATGCATGCATGCATGCATGCATGCATGTATGATTGTGTGTATGTGTGTACATGTGTGTGTTTGCGTATGTATGTATCGATGTGTGCATGCATGTATGCATGTTTGTAAGTACGTAGGTATGCGTTTATGTGCACGTACAGGTATGCAGTATGAACGTGAACGTGTACGCATGCCTGCATGCATGTAGGTAGGTATGCATGTGCGTATGTGTGGATGAATGTCTGAATGCGTGTGTATATGCATGCATGTAGATATGTGTATGTATACATGCATGCGTGCATGGCTGTATGTGTGGACGTATGCATGCGTGCATGCATATGTGTATGTATGGATGTGTGCATGCATGTATGTATAGATGTATGTATGTATGTATGTATGTATGTATGTATGCATGCATGCATGCATGCATGCATGTATGTATGTATGTATGTATGTATGTATATATGTTTATTGTATGTATGTATGTATGTATGTATGTATGT